AATTCTGTATTTTGCTGTTTGCTTAAAGGAGAGATTAGTTACATTTCTGTTTACACTGCAAAATAATTATATATATATATATATATATATATATATACACACACACACACACATCATATATTATGTCAGCATCGTACAGCCGCAGTGTTTATAGCCATTTCTTCTCATCTCCAACTGTTTTGCATACAAACCTGTAAGAGCACAGTAATGATGATTAGTACACTCTTGAAAAAGATGGTTCTTCAAGGGTTCTTTAGTACGACAATGAGAACCATGAACACTCAAAGAATCATTTGCATACTTAAAGGGTTCTCTGCATGGTGAAATGGTTCTTCGGATTGATGAAGAATGTGTTGTATATGGTTCTATACAGAACCTTTTTGAAAATGGTTCTACACAGCAACAAAAAGGGTTACAAACGTAACATCGTAACAACAGAACCCTGGTACAGAACCATGTACAACACATTCTCCATTCATCTGAAGAACCATCTCACCATGCAGAGAACCATTTGATCATGCAAAGGGTTCTCTGAGTGTTCATGGTTCTATATGGAACCACTGTCTTTACTAAGGAGACTGGAACACAAATAAAAAACATAGAACCACAGAGAGCAGACTGAAAGGTGTCGTTGGCCCTGTTAGAATTGTCCGTTCCACCTTAAACGGTGGAGCAGCTATACACCGTTTAAGGTGGAACGGGGAAACTGTAAGACCCCGTTGTCTGCAGGCTGTATCGATCACTACTGCATTCAGTGATCAGGTATATCGATGAAGAGCAGTGTTTACCCTCCGTGCTGAGAGAGACAGAGTCCGGACTGAGCCGCTCAGGTCAGCGAGGGCTCCGCAGTGCTGAAGGACAAACCGGCCGAAATTCAGAAACACCATGACGGAGACAAGCGGACACAGCAGCGGCCACACCGGGGATTACAGACAGTCCGCGGCGCTAACGGACGCTAACGGACACTGACGGACACTAACTCCGTATCAGCGCGGATAAACGAGCTGTTTATAAACCACGAACTACCGCGGCGGCTCCGCTCACACCATGCGAACACTCCGCTTCTTCTCCCTCCGTTTTCGCTCTCGGGCTGTTTGGGTGCTGTAGCGCATTACTGCCCCCCAGCGGCGTCTCTACGGATCAGCAACGCCAACCATGATAGATAGACAGATAGATAGATAGATAGATAGATGGACAGACAGACAGACAGACAGACAGACCGATAGATAGATAGATAGATAGATAGATAGATAGATAGATAGACGGATGGACATACAGACAGACAGACAGACAGACAGACAGATAGATAGATAGATAGATAGATAGATAGATAGATGGATGGATGGACGGACGGACGGACGGACGCACAGGCGGACAGACAGATAGACAGACAGATAGATAGATAGATAGATAGATAGATAGATAGATAGATAGATAGATAGATAGATAGACAAAAACCCATCTACAGTCAGATATACAACTAGAAATATACAAAAATATGCAATAAGATCTATTATAGATTAAAAGGCAGTGCAGTAATGATGCACAGGGAGGCGCAGGATATAATAACACTACTGAATAAATATGTTCAGATATTACTGAGATAAAAGTCTCTACAGTGTTTATTGGATTGAACTCCAACAAACATCCGTTTTATATAATAATCTGATACGCGCAGATAATCAGATTTGGTTCAGTGTGTTTATATGCACTTGGGTAATCAGATAATGGGGAAACTCCAGGTCTACATGAGTCAGATAGTAATCGGACAGAATACGACATGACTTAAACGTAACGTTAAACTCAAACAGTTAAAAAAACCACATATGCTGTGTCTGAAATGGTTCCCTAACCACGAAACCCTAAATCTGGATCCGTGTAAAGACTGTAAGGAACAGAATCTGTGACGCTAGTAAACAGCTACTTTATGAGGAGTCTGGAGTTCCTT